CTATATCACAGAATCACAGAATGTTAGGGATTGGAAGGGACTCCAAAGGATCATGTCAGCTTATTTATTCGTTCATACAAAAGTTTCTTTGGTTAATCATTTATTAATTATGAGAAGTTGGCATCTGTCTTTAAAGACCCGAAGAAGTGATTGCTATAATTATGCCTTTGTATCTTTACTGTATTTGTATCTTTACAGTATTTGTATTGTTATTTTAAAGGAACTAGTAAATCACTTGAGTTATTCTATATTTAAATACTAGGCAGTATTTTTCTGAAGGTTTTTATATTTACTTTCACACATCTCTCGTGTTTGTATGTATATGAGTATCTATGTATCTGTATATATGTATGCGACTTTGCATGACACAGTGTTAAAACTTTGTTTTCATAGCATTTTTCCTTTAAGCCAAAGAACACTTGACATATGTGCTAATTAAATTTGATTGCAGTCCTTTAAGTATCCTAAAGTTAGAAATACGTAAAAATGACTTTGTCGAGTGAAATATAGGTGCCCAAGGGGCATAAACAGCTCTTTAAGAGCATATTGTTAAAATTCACAGCAATTTAGAGCCAGAAACCGATTACAGGAAGAGTAAGCATAGGGAGGCAATTGTGAGCAGCAAGTTGTTGTTACTAGGTATATTAATTAGAAGGAGGTAGAAAACAAGCTTGAACGCTGTTTCGTGGTATATGTCTCCTGAATTTGGCAAGATTTGAGTGCGTGCTGATAGGTGAGTCTCTACCTGTTTTCCTGATGGGTCTAAGCTTAACTGTGTGCTCAGTATTAAGCAGATACTCGGGTTGTAGTCGGGCTTTGTACACGCTAGGAACTTCTACAAAGTCCTTGTTCTTGACCAAACTATATTATGTGTTTATGTAGCTACTACAGTGCTTTTACAAAAAGATAGCTGTGACTACAGCCACATTTTTCAAAGGTGATGATGAGGTGTTAATAGTAAATGAAATTATTTTACAGGATACTAAATTTTGCCAGCATGTAAATCTTCCTTTAAGATATTGCAGCCCAGTTAGCTGTCTCTGGTGCCCTCTAGTGCTCTTTTTACGTGCACAAACCATAGTTAAAGAGCTTTTAAAGTCAAGCTGCCATACTTGCTTCTCTTGTTTAGTTTTTTTTCTTTATCAGTCTTCATCCCTTGTTTTCCTTCGAATGATAAAAATGCAACAGAAAAATCCATTTATCTCTATTACCTTGACTCATTCGCTTCTGTCATGATATAAACTCAGGTATGATGTGCATGGCTGTCTTTTCAGAGAAAACTCCTGTGATGATGAACTCTTTTATGTTACAAGCATATTGTGAAGTCTTGTGTTTTGTTTCCACTGAAGAATTTTCAAATTGGCTGTCCTGATAATCAGTCTCTCTGATTGCGTTTTCTTGCTTTAAGGGTTGCTTTTGTTATTCTGCTAACTAACTTTGGTAAATAAGGAGATCCAATCAGTTAGTCCCATAGGGTTGCAGGGCAATGTTTTACTTCTACTTTATGCTGTTGTTCAGAGTTGTTCGGAGTTTCTGTAGCTTATTCTATTGTCTGTAGCATTTCAAGAGGTAGTAGTGCTCTCTTGTGTGCTCTTTCTGTTGCTGTCTACTGATGTATCAGAAACACCTGTCGAATGCAAGTTTAGTGCTTATTACTTGTACACAAGAGAATGGCAGACAGTTTAGTTCCAGAGTTAGCTGGTTTTATTGCTTGATTCTTGGATCTGTTTTCATAAACAGTATGAGAACATGACACTTCAGCTTTAATATCTTATATTTTTTTCGTGGTTAAAATTGTGATTGTGTTTGTTTTTATTTAATCAGTGAGTTTATCTTTTTAAACAACAGATCAGAAGTTCTACATCAATATTTATGACTGGTAAAGCACAAATCAGAATTTGTACAAAGGAATCGCTTTCATCTCTCTTCTAAATGTGCACTCGGATAACTTGGATCCACTGACTATTTTTATAAAGTTACTTTTTCAGATGCAGTATAGTCTACTGCTGTATTAGCTAAATCTCATATTTGTGAGAAATACTGGAATGATAGCTCTGGAAGCTATCTGACTTAACCAACAAAATTAATTATTTTGGAGCATATACAGGCCCTGAAAAAAATTTATATTGCTCTCTCTCAGTGTATCATTCCTGATCTTGGGAAAACTCTATTGATCAAAATTCCTTTTTTGGGACAACTGTTGTCTTTATTACTAAGGTGGGCTTTTGTGATCATTAGTTTTCTAGGTCCTAGAAGATAACTGTTCTCTTTGCTGAGAGACAAGAGTAAGAAAAAGGCTTTTGACACTCTTAGACTGGAAAATGAAATACTATCGTTTGGAACAAATCCAGATACTTGATTTGACTGAAGAAATAAAATATCGATGTTTTTAATGAGGCAGAAGATAGGAAAATGGTCACTTAGGACTCCTTTTTATACCTATTCTTATTGTAAGCCATCACTTTTTTTTCCCCATTGACTTCTAAAATAAAACTTTTAAGCCTCAGGAAAATGTTTATTTCATTTCTGATCTCAATTTTAGTAAGCTTAGAACCGTATATTCTAGAAGTGCATATTAATATTAGTCCAGCAAATCTGTAAATCAAATGTAACTGCCTTAAGATCATAGGTTTGCCTGCCTGTATATTAGAGATGCCACATTTGTAGTGCTTAATGAGAGAAATAGCATGTTGTGAGTCAAGTTTTGCATTGTATTGCAGTACTGAAAGAAGCACTTGGAAATAATAACTTAATTGTTCTGGCATTTTTAAAATGTGATGCAAAAAGACACTTTGGGACTTTGCTTTCTGAGTACCCTTGTTAGAAAGGGAGAAATATAACTTGTAAAAACCTGTGGGGTTACCAAGAACATTGCGGGGTGGGGGAGGTGGGGGGGAAGTAAAGAAAATTAAAGTTGCCACCAGGAGGAGCAGTTCTAAAATATTCTCATTTATTTACTGGCACAGTCCTCTAGTGTTGTAGCTGTAAACTATTTGTTACTTTGGGAAGATCATATTTTTTTAAGGATAGAGGGCTAAATATGGTGTTTTAGAACGCAATTAAAAAACCCAGAAAGAACGCAAATTAAGAACTTGAATATTTTTACAAATTATAATCCGGAAAATAATGGTTCTTTTGACATTTGAAATTTTAATCACAGATTTAGATCTGTATCCTGGTTCCAGTACGTTGTGCTGTTAGCCACACTCTCTGAATAAGAAATAGATCTATTTTGTATCTCTTAGTTGAGACGTAATAGGATAATTTTCAGGAGCTGGTGTATCAGTATTGCTACTAACGACGATTCTCAGGATCTGCTTAGACCAACCATTAGAGAAACAGGTGCTGAGGCTCTGTCACTGGCTCGTGCACTTATGTCCAGACTAGAGGCGAATTGTCTGCTGTGTCGGGAAATAACAGGAAAGGAAAGGAACGGAACAAGTTCAGTAAGAAATAGAAACTGTCAGACCTTGTAAGGTTTTGGAGTTTGGGTGGTTTGTTGTGTGTTTTTTGTGGTTTTTTTTTGTTGTGTTTTGTTTGTTTGGTTTGTTTTGTTTTTTTTTGAGAAAATGCTTATAGTGCATCACGTTATGTCTGAAGTGCTGTGATGTTGTTTATATAATCTAAATCAAACTTCGGAAAGAAGTGGGATTTCCCATTAATGTTTTCAAATATTGGTATTACATATGAATTTTATAATTCATTAACTGGATTGTCATTAGTTCTCTCTTTCACATTGCTAGCCAATTATTGTCACTGATTCAAAATGCTGCTGTATCTCTTCATGATATTAGCTCCCCCACCCACTCTACAGATATTTTTCTACTTAGTATCAGCAAGTTATTTTTCTTGCTCTTGTGACAGAGGTTTTTAGAGAGAATACTTGAAGTAAGCCAAGTTGATTTTCTGTTTCTGAGGTGGACTTCCAAAATAGTTTTGGAGGATTGTTTAATACCTAAATTGAACGGGTATCTGTCTTCTAGATGCTGTGCATAATGTAAGATGCTGGGCAGGAAAATGGGTCATGAAAATCACCAAGATACTCAAAACTGACTGCTGATGTGAAGTGGCTGTGTGGGCCACATTTCTGGCATATCCCTCCTGCTGTACATCTGAGAAAGAAGAAAGTTTTTGTTCTTCCTTTATATGGAACATTTTTTTTTTTTGTAATTTGTGAAGTTTTAAACCTGGAAGTCTAGCAGTACAACTCCGTCATGCGAAGATATAGAAATAATGAATAAGCATCTAAATGATTAGACACACACACACAGCAGTGTGCCCAGGTGGCCAAAAAGGCCAATGGGATACTGGCGTGTATCAAGAATAGTGTGACCAGCAGGAGCAGGGAAGTGATCCTGCCCCTGTACTCGGCACTGGTGAGGCCGCACCTGGAATATTGTGTCCAGTTTTGGGCCCCTCGCTTTAAGAGAGATATTGAGCTCCTGGAGCGAGTCCAAAGAAGGGCGACCAAACTGGTCAAGGGGCTGGAAAATAAAACTTATGAGGAGAGGCTGAGGGAGTTGGGGCTGTTTAGCCTGGAGAAGAGGAGGCTGAGGGGAGACCTGATTACGGCCTATAAATACTTGAGAAAAGATGGTGGGGAGGTAGGGGAAGGGCTCTTTACATTAGTGATGGGTGATAGAACAAGAGGAAATGGGCATAAGCTTAGTCAGGGGAGATTCAGGTTGGATGTTAGGAAGTATTTCTTCTCTGAAAGGGTTGTCAGCCACTGGAATAAGCTGCCCAGGGAGGTGGTTGAGTCCCCATCCCTGGATGTGTTTAAGAATAGGGTGGATGAGCTACTTGAGGATATGGTTTAATGGGGATTAGGGATGGTTGGACTCGATGATCTCTAAGGTCTTTTCCAACCTAGAAATCTATGAATCTATGATTACTACTTAACTTTGGGTTGTTTGTTGGTTTTGGTTTTTGTTTGTTTGTGTTGTTGTTTTTTTTTTTTTTAAATAATCTACTGCATTCTGACAAATGTTTCTTCATAGGATGAAGATGAGCTGGACTCTCACACCATGGTGAAGACCAGTTCGGAGAGCGCTGGTACCATGAGGGCCACAAGCACGATGAGTGAAGGCGCCCAGACAATGATTGAACACAACAGTACTATGTTAGAATCGGACTTGGGCACCATGGTAATAAATAGCGATGACGATGAAGAGGAGGATGGGACCATGAAAAGTATGTCATTAATTTACTTTTCTTTTAATAGTGTAATATGTTTTCTCATACTGCATGAGAACATGGTGTCATCAGTGTCTTTTAAGCATCAGATTCTGTGGTTGAAACAGGAGGAGAGGAGTATTTGTGTCTCTAAGTGCTCTCTATAGTTTGTGGAGAAAAAGGTGACTGTAGTGGGAGGTTCAAAGCAGAAGCCTGGTTTTGGTGCTTTGCTAAGTCTCTCTGGAGAACACTAAAATTAGCCTTCTGTGAATTCTCCTTTCTGCTGCTTGTCTCTTGCTTTTTACCTTCTGTCTCACATACATTTGGACCAGTTCCTTGGAGCTAAACTGAAGTGATGTGATTATGTGAGAAGCTGCTGCTTCAATGTCAGTGTCCTGGGAACTTGTTATGACTCTCCAAGTGCTCAGCAATCCAGTACACATCTTGCTGCAAAATTGTTTTCTGACTCATGATCAATTAGCAGATTTTTATTTTATAACTGACTGTTATTATTTGAACATATGTTGGAATATAATTCAATAATGCTTGATTTAAGGCAATGATCAAAAGATCATTGAAACCAAAGTAAAAAGTCCAAACTGACTTCAGCAGCATGTGAGGGAGTAGGTAACAAAGAGGAAAAAAAAAATTGTGAGTATTTTAAAGTATAAAATTACAAGTTACACTGAAATATGCATAACTACATATTTTTAAATAGTTAACTTACGTACAAACATATTGATGTGCTCATTATTTGGCTGAAGGCTACTGCAGAATGAGGCCCACTGAATTTAATAGAATTATTTACCTGAACGCACAGCATCAATAGATGAACCTGACTAAAGCTCTAAGTGCCTGATTTCATGAGGCACAACATAATGTTTAAGTCCAGGCAATTATTTGGGGGGGAGTAATAAATAAACCTCATGTCTCCAGACTAAAAATCAGTACCAAATAAATAACTTTGTTGAATGCTTTATAAAAGCAAACATAAGGTTTCATTTGTGTTTGCACATATACACCTGCTGTAGTTTGTGCAAGATTAGTTGGAAGTGCAAACCAGGAATATGTTTTCTTTGCAGTTTAATGTACAGCAAATGGGAAGGAAGGAGAGGTTTTGTTGATTTGTCGTTGGTGGTGGTTTTGTTTTGTTGTTTTTGAGTGTGGTTTTTTTCCTAGTGTCCTCAGCAATAATATACCAAACATACCTGTTGATTAGTGATTAGTTTAAGTAGGATGATTCAGCTCATGAAAACACTCAGTATCTGCTTTAATTTGTTTTCGTGCTGAAACAGAATATTTGCCTATTAAACTGTGAGGCTAATGGAAGGTTATACAAGTGATCTCAAACTCGTCAATTGCAACAAGTTAAGGAAAAAATGAGTGATACAAAAAAAGAGAAAGATATTAGAAGCAAATTTGGAGTAAAGGATAATAAAGTAATTTTTAAGGTGAAAGTATTATGAAGAAGGGTTTTGTGTAGCCTTTCAAATCAGTTCAGGCTTAATAACTATGCCTGTAGTTTTTGTATGTACTGGGAAGAAATAGCTGTTGGTATGCCAAGCAGATCAAAAAAGCGTCATTAGGTTTGCACTGCAGTCTCTTATCCATGTCCTGTTTGTCTGCCATGTTGCTGGAGACGTTATTTTTAAAATGTACAGTTATCTTCCATTTGTAATTGATTCCAGGAACAATCTGTAGTTAGAAAGGGAGTTACCTTTCTACACCTTGGAATTTAGTCAGTATAATTCTTAAACCCATTCTTCCTTCTTGCCAAACAAGAATATATAATCTTTGGGACAGCAGGTTGCCTTCCCCTCCCTCCCCATGGTAGGTGACTGTCTTGAGACCTGTAATGCCAGCAAAGGAAAGCCAGCAAACTGGTGTAGCCTGATGGCAAGTGATTCGTCATTCAGCTGGCAACCCACAGCTTTGGTTCCAGCACTTAACTCACTGAACTTTCTTATATTTTGCATTAGACACTTGTTGATTAGGAACAATTCAAGAATAGGACCTCCACATCTTTCAGCTGAAAATAAATATAAATCATGTCCACTGTAGCTGATCCTCTTCTGGTTCTGTGATTCATGTGCTACTGGCTGAAACAGGAGCAGCAGCAAGTGTCCTGAATAAATGTCACCAGGAAAAGACATACAAATCCTTACTCTTCCTGAGAGGCAGATACAGATTTTGTGCTTCTTTGTGCTTGACAAAGATGCAAGATTTTGGAAATTGGTTGCTTTTTCCAATGCAGCTTTATAGGCAAGGTGGACACTTTCTAGATCTTTATGTGATTTGATTATAATAAATCAGAATAGGTAGCTTAAAAATACTCTTTGATGCTTTTGAATAATAGAACATTGAAAGCAAGAAGCCTGGAGAAATGAACTTAATTAACTAGGAAAGAGCAATTTAATTTCCTTCCTAGAGACACAAAATATTTATGACAAACTTTTTTCTTTTAATTGCTCTTGTGTTTAATTTCACGGGTTTTTTTTTTCCTTCTGCCTTTGGTTTCCCTGCTTAAGGACAAAATAAGAAATAATAATAAGTTTTTATTTATAAGTGCCCATGCTTAGAGGCCTCTGGGCACCATGACAGAAAATAACTAAAACCATATTTTTTTCACAAATAGGGAATTGTGCCCAGATAAAATTGGGATTTGGAACAAAAAGAGGCCTGTCATCCTACCCCGACATACAATATACAGCCTAGCAATAAACAGCATTTATGTCTTCCTGCTTAGTATGCATGTGTCACGGAGGTGAGTGATTTAGGTCATTTGAAAAATCACCATCAAAGATATTAACAAACCACCACAGTCTGGGCATGCTCTGAGCAGAGACTATGCAGTATGTACCTAGAAGGAGGGAAGAAAATGCAGAATACAGAGAGCTGGGAGGACAGAGCTTAATTTGAGGATGTTTAACGTGGCACGTAAGAAAGAGTAGGATTGATGGAAGATAGTACTACTTTGGTTCAGCTACTCGGATTGTACTTATTTTCATGTAGAAGCTTTTTCATGCCTCAAATCTGAGAACGGTGTTCAGACCAGCTTCCCTGCGTTCCCTTTGTGGCTTTTCGGCAAGGCTTAGTGTTAGAGCTTTCTGGTTCACCAGGAGTACTTCTAGTTCTTCTCCGTTCTTCTTTTCATTAACACCTCCTCCTCACCCCCCTTTTTTTTTTCCTGTTAAATTTATATTTGTCAGTTTTGTGCTCGCAAACAAGTTGCCTCTTCTTGCCATTTGGACTGAGTTTATAACTGTTGCTTCAGACTTCAGTGAAGCTTCTATATAGTTCATGGTTGATAATGAGTATATTAAAAGAAGAGGACAGTGAACTAATGAAGTGTCATTTGACAGATAGAATGTAGAAAAGTTGTTGGGTCAGTCTTTTTTATTGCTTTTTGCCCTATAAGTCATGAAATGATTTAGGTTTAATCAGTATAATTCTTAAACATTCCTCCTTATGATCAAACAAAAGAATATAATCTTTGAGACAGCAAGCTTCCTTCCCCTCCCTCCTTCCCCATCGATGACTGTCTCAAGACCTGTAACACAAGTGAAGGAAAGCCAGTAAACTGGAGACAGCCTGATGGCAAGTGATGTTTTCATCATTCAGCTGGCAAGTGACAGGTTGGATTCCAGCCCTCACTCACTGAACTTTCTTGTGTCATTGTATTATGGGAGCCTTAATTACAGCAGGACTTGCACCATGCTGTTAGAACCTACACTTTGAAAGGAGAATTCATGAGTTGGTTATATTTATTTGTAATTTTTTAGTGATTTCAGTCTATTAAGAGATTGCAGCATACTGTAAGTCAGTCTCCTCTGTAATAGCAGGTGGATGCTTGGGTAGCTCTGGAGTGATGCTTCATAACTCTTAGAAAGGCCTAAGTCCTCTAGCTGTTTTTTTCAACTGAAAAGCAGAAGCTATTGGTATGTGGTTTATAATAACCTATGACCCAGGACCTATAGGAATTCAGCAAAGAAGCTTAATTATGGGCTGGTTTCAGTGGTGGTGTAACATGGGCATTGATATTTCATGAATGTAGTTTTGTTCAAACTTATTTACTGTGCCCACGTTAAGACATTTTGCTGGATGCCATATGCAAGTGTACTAGTACTTTACTTCTGTATATATAGGAAGAGATGACAGGTGTTTCCAAGCTTATTCTAGTCTTCGAGCACTCTCCTGTGATTGGTAATAAAATTATTCGTTTATGCCGCTAGTAAGTAGTAGTATCTTTTACAAATGGGATTTTTTTTTTTCCAAAGGAAAACATCGTGTTGGCAATTCTGCTTCACGAACTGTTGCAAAATGCTAGCTTAATGTGGATTTTCTTTATTTTGCTGAAAGCAGAAATAAAGTATAACTCAGCTGGGATGAACTAATGGCTTTATAATAGTAGCATCATTGAGTATTTTTTCTTCTTCTCCAGATGGTGGAAAAATAGAATAAAACCAGTTTTACGAGTCTCATTGTCAGGAAGCAAAGCAATGTTTTGTACAGGAAACTTTTTCCCATTAAAAAGCCTTTAAAATTGAGTTCATAGTCCTTTGAAAAGTCTGTGAAGGCTTCAGGTGGTTAAAAAAATATGTGGATTTTCCATTTAAATGCCAGTTGCAATTATTTCTGATAAATAGGTATACTATAAAACAGACAGAATACTGAATGAAGCTTGAATTTTGATGAAGACTTGCGTGCATAAGTCACTGTGATGTGAAAACTGTAAGCTTGGTAACCACTTTGTTACACAGCTCTCTGTTGTCAAACATTTCTTAGATACATCTTTTGGTAGACTCTCAGCTGCTCCAGCCTAAGGAACTGGTGATCTAGCTTCTGCTGATGCTTCAGAAACCAAGTAGACTGACCTCTCATTCTCTGAGGTGGTTGTCTAATAGACATGTATTAGCAGCAGAACTCGCCCGCTCATAAAATACAGTCACAATTTTTGCTTAAAATATGGCTGAAGGAGGTGGCTATGGCAACTCTCTACATGGTAGTTCACTGTTAAG